TTTTTTTTTTTTTTTTTTTTTTTACTATTTCCCAGATTGCAAAAGATATACAACTAGTATTATTTGCCTACTGCACTTAGAGATCTCAAGAACTTAATCCAAGAAATGTGCATCACAAGCTTTGCTGTAACAAGGCATGTTTGTTTTAAAACATGCTCATTGCCTTTAGGGACTTAAAACAGGCAAGATTCATGATCCCCTTCAACAGCTGTTCTTATTGTCTCTCCTGTGAAACCCTGCACATGAAAAGTCTACTGGGGAAGGGGATTCCTTTTTGAATGAGGGTTTGCCTTTTCTGTCGGGGGTGGGGGGGGAATGATCCATGGTTCCAGGACACTATTCTTTACCCTTGTTAGAGTATCTTTGACCTCCTGGAGATTCTCAGTGGCAATTAGTATAAAAGTTTAGAATACAAAGGGGCTTGGGGAATTGTCTAATTCACCTTTATCATTTATAGATGCAAAAACTGAAGCCTAGAAATCTCACATTTAGCTAGTGGCCAGGCAGGGAACAGAGTTCTGGCCTTTGACATCTATTCCTGTCTGAATAAAAAGTCTGAAACTCCTTCAGCCAACCTTGACTGCATCTGACTTCTTACTTTGAATTTCAGACTTTGAATCAGCTTGTAGGCACTTAGCAAGGACCCATCAAAGCATCTTAGAATAAAAATGGGATCATGTTTGGGGAGCAACACTCTTCTCACCTGAACCACATCCATAGCACCCAGAGTTATAGACAAAAATCTTGGGTTGATGACTTGAACTCAACCATTCGAGGTTATATAATCACACGGCCTGATGATTATATGCACCTATAAAAGTGGGCTGCCATTGCAGTAACTGCTGTATGTCATAGCTTTTGTCTTTGGGACCACTCAGTACTCTTGTCAGACTAAAGCACAAGGTCTAAAGTTTACAATCAACAAATAGTTTAGGAGCCACTGAGGTCAAGTTGGGGATAATTTCATATTGAGGGGGGACAAAAATTCAAGAAAAGAAGACCCCACCATCACTTGATCTCAGTGAGAGGAAGAGAGAGGTCTTGTTCATTGATGCTTATTGGCTTGTTACTTTGCCTATTGACTGAACCTCTTCCCACTAGGAAGAGGAGAGTTAATGAGAAAGAGAGACAGGAAAAGGGTAGCTTTTCATTTCTTTTAAATGAGTAGAACAGAATAAGAAAGATGATTTGTTACTTGAAGTAAAAAATGTATATATTCAGTTTTAGGTTTTACATTTCCAATAATGCATGGGCTTTGTCTTTTCCAGGTTTAAAACCATAATTGACTCTGTGACTTCTCTTAAAAAACTCTTCCTCCCATCATGAACAAAATAAGTACATTCTGTAATGCACACTAGTCATTTTTATTTTTGGACGTGTCCTAAGGAGAAACAGTTTTCTTCCAACAGATCAGTGATAAATGTGAATGATACCCCAAGGGCAGAATTAACTGGATGTTACTTGGGGGTTGTGCTGAGGGGTGGAAAATATATTTCCATGTGGAATTCACAATTTTGTAAGTCACTTATAATATGGATTACACTTACTAATTATAGACATTTTTATAGCAGAGGACATGTATTTTGGAGGTTTTTCAACATGAATACAATTTTGCGACCTTAAAAGTTTTTTCTTCTCTTGTAATAAGGGAATTAGTACTTGGATCTTTCAGATTGATATCTTCCAGATGCTTGCCAGGAGCTCTGTTGGATAATTGTCCAAATTATAGTATTAAAATAAAGCTGAAAGAAAGAAATACAATATTATTGTGATTATTGCAAAAGGAGTTCTATTTAATCATCTATCTCAAGGTATCAATAATTGCAATGATTGTTAAAGTGTTGTTAGCAATACTTGTTAAAGTATTTGGATTATGTTCTGGATTGCCCCTAGGTAGCCAGGAGTATTGGTTGAAAATGGCACCCCAAGAGAGTTTCTGATGGACATTTTAGAGAGTAAGAAAATGGGCCCTCACTCAGAACTTATTACTACATGAGTTGGCAAGAGATAAGAAAAGTGATCAGAAGTAGGATACATGTGTTGAGAGAGCTTAAGGCTTTTGAAGGGTAGAGTAGGGTTTTCACCAGACGCATATACCCACTGTGGTAGATGCTACCAGCATCATCTTTAGAGATAAAATGGAGTGTACTGTGGGGAGAGTAAGGGAGGGGAGGGGGAGAGAGGGAGAGAAAAAGAAAGAATTGAGAATTAGAATGCCATATTCACAATCTCTTATAAAGGGCTCACGTTTAAAATGTGTCAAGTAGGAAATATCGACTTACATGTGGTGGATCAAAGATGCAATGAGCAAGTCATAAATCAGTGTTGTCACTTAATCAGTAGACAGACACCTACCTTTGTATGGGCCAAAAGAAAGGACAGGCACCAGTAAAGGGTCCTGATGTTGAGGAGTTGAACACAAAGAGCCATTCTGGAGGAGCTGAGGTGTGTGTGGATGGTGAAGTCACTGACCACAGGAACCCCTGAATTCCAGGGTTTTGAGCACAATGTAAGAACAAGTTTTGGAGTCAGACAGGCCTGGATTTGGGTCTAAGCTCTGTGTTGTCTTGCAGTGTAGTCATGGGCAAGCTATTTAACTTCTTTCAGCCTCAGTTTTCACATCTGTAAAATTGGAACCATTGAAGTGGTTATTCTACGGGTTATCAAGATTACATAACTTGATACATAGCAAGCGTTAGCCAAGTGCCTACAACTAGTAAACAGTATTAGGTGGTGACCATTAGAACGTTTATTCTCTCTTTTTTAAAAATTAATTTATTTTTATTAATTTATTTTTTTGGCTGCATTGGGTCTTTGTTGCTGTGCACGGGCTTTCTCTAGTTGCGGCGAGTGGGGGTTACTCTTCATTGTGGTGCACGGGCTTCTCACTGCGGTAGCTTCTCTTGTTGCAGAGCACGGGCTCTAGGCGTGTGGGCTTCAGTAGTTGTGGCTCGTGGGCTCTAGAGAGCATGCTCAGTAGTTGTAGTGCACACGCTCAGTTGCTCTGCGACATGTGGGATCTTCCCGGACCAGGGATCAAACCCATGTCCCCTGCACTGGCAGGTAGATTATTAACCACTGCACAACCAGTGAAGTCCCTATTCTCTTTTTTATGATAATGTGTGATTATTTTCTCTGTTGGATGGATTGGAAGATACCCATTCCACAATACGTAATAAAATTAAAATTATCCCAATAAAGGACCAAAAAGAAAGAAATACAGGGCTTCCCTGGTGGCGCAGTGGTTGAGAGTCCGCCTGCCGATGCAGGGGACACGGGTTTGTGCCCCGGTCCGGGAAGATCCCACATGCCGCGGAGCGGCTGCGCCCGTGAGCCATGGCCGCTGAGCCTGCGCGTCCGGAGCCTGTGCTCCGCAACGGGAGAGGCCACAACAGTGAGAGGCCCGCGTACTGTCAAAAAAAAATAAAATAAAATGAATAAATAAATAAATACAAAATCTACTGATGGTTTTCTTAGGGTGGTTGGTTATAATTATTTTTTCTTTGCTCTCTTTTCCAAATCATCAGCAATATAACTTGGTTTATTTTTAGTGGAAAAAGGGTATTAAAGTCACTAATCAGCAAATCTGTGAATACACATCTAGAGACTAATCACTTCTCTCAGTCTCAAAGTCAATCTATATAACTTAGGGAGAATGGTATTGGCAGACTGGGGCAGTTTGAGAAAGCTCATTAGAACCTGCTTACAGCATGTTCTCTTGCTTTTTATTTAGCTTAAAGGTGTCATTTGTTCTTCTCTTGTGATGAGA